GACTTGGAGTCTGGTAGCAACTACCTTGGCCTTTTTAATTATTTTAAAAATTCTTTTCTTTTCCTCATGAAACTGGTGAAGCCCTGCCTCCCCTGACTGCACGTCCCTGGACTCAACTAGCATTTTATTTAACATATACTTTAAATTTGCATTTGCATGTTATGGTGATGAAGTCCCTTCAGTTTATAATTAATATTATTAATATAATATTAATTATATTATTAATACAATATAGGCAACTCTGGGAAATAGTTTTACTATTGCCATACGGCACATTGCAACTGTTGATGTAAAAGGAGGAGAATAAGCCTCAAATTGTTGCTGCCACAGCCATTTTGACTATAACATCTCCCCTCCAGCAGCTAACACTCAGGTAAGCATGGAATAACACCAGACAAACAATAAAGCAGAAAACAGTGCCCTAATCAAGTAACTATCAAGGAGAAAACTACCAAGGAGAATCCAGGTAGGGCGAACTACTCTATTGTATAAACAGGAGCAAACTCCACACACACTAAACTGATAATTGCTACCTAGATAGGTAATAAAACATATGCAAGCAAACAATCAAGCTCAGAGAGATCACGGATTCCACACCCATTTATTTCTTTGGTTTGATATTTTATTTTGACAAATCAGTTTGAGTTCATAGTTTGAGCCTTGAAGAATCTGTTTCTGGGGTCAACCCCTGACTATGAATGCCTAGGTGCCTGTGGAGAATAAACTACAGCAATTTTCTATATCATTGGAGAGTCCAGTGTCACATGTCAGTTCCCCATCCCTCTGTCCACAAAAGTCTCTATCACCCAGTTTGTTTTGCAGCATTAAGGTAAGACAGTGGTGGGGAGAAAAATCCTCAGCTTATCTGTTTTAGATGCTCCATTTTGCCCTTTTGAATATACCTTCTAGATAGATGCCACATCTTGATTATGTAAAGTAATCTCAAGATGGGTGCAGTTTTTGTCTTCCTGAAAAAGCCCCCATCCATCGTACCTCACCAATCATGGAAATGCATACTGTAGTTCTCCTATTGGGACAAACAGCCTGATGTGGAGATTTTAGGAATACCGTTAAGTGTTATAAAGTGAGATTTCCCATAAGGAATGAAAATGAATTCTCTGATTTCAAATGTCAATTTACTCATTTCAGCACATTCCATTGTTTTTCGAATAACTTCCTCCTGTGTTGGTATTTTCTCATTTTTCCAATTTTTTGCAAATACAATTCTGGCTGCCGTTAAAATATTTACGATCAAGTATTTCAAGTCAGAGAACAAGAGGATGAACAATTTTTTAAGATTTGCGACTTGTTTTAAAGATGTATTTATATATATTTGATAGATATTTCATGATTTTACAATATAATTGAAAGTAATGATATAAATTATATATATATAATTTATATATATATTTCTTGCAGTATATATATATATACTGCAAGAAATAT